ATAAAGTATTTGCTTTTCTTCTTTTAGAAAAAAAATATTTTGGTTGTCACTTTACCTTCTATTCTGTTCCTTTCCTACTATAAACTTTAACGTGTTTAAAAAAAAAAAAAACAAGTTTAAATTTTTGTTTTGACCTTAAAGGCATTATCGTACATCATACAATTAATTTTTGCTCAATCTACTTGAATTTGTATTTTCAATATGGTCACTATGTTGAGAAAAAAATCGAATGAACATTTCTTTAATCTCAGAGCACAACAGAGAAAGTCATAGTCATTGTTATATGAAACTTAGGCATAAGAAAAATGGGGGAAAAATAACCTGCAAAATTTGTAGAATTCTAGGGATTAGATTAAGGTGCCCTGGTGGTGCAGCAGTTAAAGCACTCAGCTGCGAACCAGAAGGTTGGGGGTTCGAAGCCACCAGCCGCTCCGAGGGAGAAAGATGTGGTAGTCTGCTTCCGTAGAGATTTACAGCCTTGGAAACCCTAGGGGGCTGCTAGGAGTCGGAATCAACTTGACGGCTGTGCGTTTGGTTTGGTTGGCTTTTTAAAATCTAATACACTATGTATTTTACAAAATATTGTAATTACAGAAGTTGCTGTGCTGCCTTCTATTTTGAACTTGTCACCTCTTATCAAATCGAAATGATTTATACATTTCTTTTAACACAGTACAGTGATCGATTGTGATTTCTTACAACTTCGTATTAGTTCTTAAGAGAAAAAACGTCAATAATCGAAGTAATAAGCAAAAGTACCTAACCGTCCTGTTGTCAAACCTGGTAGTAACCTTTGGGCCTTTGGAACAGAATGAATTATGTTACATCTTTTTCAAGAATGCTGAAGCCCTTCACTTGTCCTATCTATCACATCTAAATTTAGAAGTCTAATTGCCTTTGCACAGAGCCCTTAAAATTTCCCGGATGAGAGAGAACCCCAGGCTTACCAGGCAAAGAATGGAATTAGTAATGTTCATCCCCATCAGTACCTTTATACAGGTACCAAGGAGAGCTGCCTTGAAACAGCACTTCCAACAATGGAATTAAGTTTTGTTAAGGTGCAAGTCCTGGTGGCGCAGTGGTTAAGCGCTTGGCTGCTAACCGAAAGGTAGGTGGTTCAAACCCACCAGGTGCTCATAGGAGAAAGAGGTGGCAGTCTGCTTCTGTAAAGATTTACAGCCTTGGAAACCTTATGGGGCAGTTCTACTCTGTCCTCTAGGGTCGCTATGAGTCAGAGGCACACAACAACAATGATGTGCGAGTCATCTAATTTTTTTCTCTCCAGAATTTACCAAAGATAAATAGTCTCTCGAATAATTAGATTGTCTGCTTTAAAGGCAAGAAGGAAAAATAATAATCTATTTTCTCCATTGCATCCTTTTTGTTTGTGTTCAACTTTTACGGAGTTAATTTAAGTTTAGCAGGCTGTCAACTTGGTTCTAGAGGATTTACTGCATTTTATGTCTAAACCATCTACTTCTGACATTTTAAAATTACCCACCTACTTATGGGATTATCCTACATTCTATTCTTGAAAGAGCAAGTCAATTTTCAGCATAGTTTCTTCTGTTATTTTTCCCCCTTTGTCTGTTTTCCTGAGAGCTAGCTCCAAGGTAAGAGAGGAAGGAATGGAAGGATATGGAGGACAGTGGATAGAATAGAACAATGGGTTGCTAGAGGGAATGATCTGGATCATAAACTATTGCTGGAAAGAGGAAACCTCAAAAATGCAACCCAATAATTTAATTTTTATTTATATATTTGTTCACATATACGTATTAGAGGGTCAGCGAAAAAGAGGAAGACCCTCAACAAGATGGACTGACACAGTGGCTGCAACAATGGGCTCAAGCTCAACAACAATTGTGAAGATGGTGCAGAACCGGGCAGTGTTTCGTTTTGTTGTATGCAGGGTCGCTGTGAGTCAGAACCGACTCAACGGCACCTAACAAAAGCAACGACAACTTTACTTAAAAAAAAAAATCAATTTTGACTGGCCGCCTGTCTTGCCTGTAGTCACAAAAATATGCTGCGGGTTGGGTTTGGTTAGTGTTATCAGAATAGAAGTTGAGGCGGCAGCAGTGCCTTTTATGTCTCACAAGTTTTTGAATGTACTCTGCTTTCACCGTGGGATGAAGCCACTTGCAGGCCCTTTTTTGTTGATGTTGCTCTTCCACTTCCCCTAGGAATTTGTGATTTTGATACTTGATGAAGTTGAGGCACACAGGATCAGTCAGGAGTACACAGAATTTTTTCCAAATGAATTCACCTATATTTATTCTTTGTAACATAATAATACCAGCTTCGGGGGAAAAAAAGCTAAAAACTGGAAGAAAAAAAAAGCAAACATTCAGATGTGAGAAAATAAAAGTAATTTGTGCCTTCTTGGCTATCGTTCTAGCACCAAATGACCATTTTTTCCACAAGTTGCCTTTGTTGACTGTGACTGAGTGACAGGTGGAACCCAGTGGGTTTGTGTCCCTGTTCAGGGACTCATTGGGACTCATCGTGTTTAATGTGGGAAGGCCAAGCTTGCCTCTCAGTGCGTCTTCCTGCCAGAGCCAGGGTTCCTGATTTTAATCGACACCCTTGGGCCATTTTAAGCATGACCACAGAACACCTTGCAAGTCGAACCTTATCTAATTATGTGATGGGTATAAACGTGACACGCATAAATCTTACTCATTGAAGCAACTTGTTTTTCTAAGATGCTCTGGTCCAGTGAAAGACAAAAGCAAATAAGGGAGAGATTGATCTCCGAGCGCTTTTATTGTCGGTGCTCCACCGTCGTAAAGTTTTGGCTCGTTAAAAAGGAAATTCCATAAACAATTTGAGTTAGTAAGAGTGAAGTAACTGTGCCTTTCTTGAGCTCCTGCTAACCCCCCTTTCCGCTTGCCATTACATGAGCATGATTAAGAAAATGCCAACAGGATGTGCAAGAGAGAGGAACAGACTTCAGCTGGAAGCACATATGGATGCCTGGTGGATGAGTAAAGGCAGAGGGATTGTGGCCATATAGCCACAGATAATCATGGAGTTTTGTGGATCTCTTTTTGTCTACTAGTTCTGATAAGATCTGCTGGATGGCTGGCGTGATTGGTCTCTGTTGTCAGGCTGATGGAAAATGCCTGATGGCTCCTTCTACCGGCTGCTGTTTTTGATAGTATTAACCAAACCAAAAAAACTAGCTGCCGTGGAATTGATTCTGATTCATGGCGACCCCACAGTTCAGAGTAGAACTGTCCTCCATAGGGTTTTCACGGCTGTGGCAGTTCAGAAGCAGATCTGCAGATCTCCAGGCCTTTCTTCCAAGGCACCTCTGGGTGAATTGAAACCACCAACCTTTCAGTTAGTAGCCCAGTGCTTAACCATTTGCGCCACCCGGGGGCCCCTTTTGATAGTATACCCGTTGCCGTCGAGTGGATTCTGACTCATAGCTACCCTACAGGGCAGAGAAGAACTGCCCCACAAGGTTTCCAAGGAGTGGCTGGTGGATTCGAACTGCTGACCTTTTGGTTAGTGGCCATAGCTCTTAACCACTGCACAACCAGGGCTCCTTTGATAGTATAAAAACATCCTAAAGTCATGATAAATGGAGAGAATTGATAGTGAATCAATTGAAAGACTGTGGGAAGCATTTGCATTTTTACCTCTGGTCTTAATGAAATAAGTTTACTTTGAATAGCCATATCTCTGTGGGTTTAGTGCTGCTGGTGTTGGTCCAGTTTTTATTTTGTGTTGGGACAGATTTAGGAAGTGATCATGAAGGGCATAGGGGATGGGGGAAAAAGAGAAGAGCAAGGCCCTATTAATTATTTTTTATTAGGAGGTTTCACAAAATTAGTGACTTTTTCCACATCAGTGGAAATAGTCCTCAGTGTCAGTGTGAAGTTTATAAAGATGAAGTCATAGACGGCAACTCAGGTGCTTAAAGAACTATATGGTCCATGTTCTCTGCCCCAGCCTCTTGGGGTTTGTGTGCATAGGGAGGGCAGGTGTTGAAAAATGGGGGAGAAGGGAGAACAAGAGGCTTTTATTAATTTGAGAATAAACAAAGTATTTGCTGTTTGGAAAAAAAAAAAAAATCCTAGCATATTATATTCCAGAATCTACAGCTGGCAGTAGTTTATTCTACTTTCTCCTAAAATTGTGATCCATGTCTTACAAACTCTTGTCTTTTTTACTGGGTAGCTTTTGTTGGTTTTTTCCCATTGGTTCTCTCTCTCTCTCTGAGGCTGTAATTAGGAAATAATCACCAACCAAGTTCTTGTTAATACTTGGAGACACTTCAAACTGATTGGTTAAAGACTGTGCTGTCAGATTCCATAGGCTGTGGCTAAGAGTGCAGGTGTCAGACTCCTTGGGGTCAAAACTTCTCTTATCAGATGTATGGACTTGTACCAGCAATTGCAGCCACTCAAAGCCAGTATGGAAAAGGGATGCCATAAAGATGAAACAAAACAATGCATGTAAAGGGTAAACAGGGTATCTGGCACATAGGAACCAAACCAAAAGCAAGCCCATTGCTGAAGAGCTGATTCTGACTCATGGCGGCCTCGTGTGTTACAGAGCAGACGCAGCTCCATATGGTTTTCTTGGCTATAAGCTTTACGGAAGCAGGTTCGACAGGCCTTTCTTCCGCAGAGCTGCTGGGTGGATTCGAACACCAGTAGCAAACCACTGATACCACCAAGGACCTTGGCACATAGGGAAGAGCTCAGTAAATGAACATTAGCTGTGATTTTACTTGATACCACCTATTATAAGAAAATGTCTTCTGTAGGGTCCCTTGCCACCTGCCCAGCAACTTTAGCAACCCATAAAGAGCTATCATAATCAGTTAAAGTCTTTGATTGCTTTATTCACAGTCTTGAGCCAAATGATCAGTAATGATTAGAAAACGCATCTCCCTTCTTTTGAATCAAAGAGGTGGCCCTGCAGTTTGCTTTGCCGTATTAGCAGTGGCTTATATTTGTTTCTGTTTGTTTTCTTCCCTCTAGCCTGCAAAATTGGGTATTACAAGGCTCTCTCCACGGATGCCACCTGTGCCAAGTGCCCACCCCACAGCTATTCTGTCTGGGAAGGCGCCACCTCCTGCACCTGTGACCGGGGCTTTTTCAGAGCCGACAATGATGCTGCCTCCATGCCCTGCACCCGTAAGTTGATACTCGTCTTCTGTTTCTGAGACGCCAGCAGCTTTCATTACCGCCTAGCAGGACACTTCCGGGTCTTCTCCCAGGATAACCATGCAGGGGGCAAATTAGATCTAAGACGCTTTTTTTTTTTTTTTTTCCCTCAGTCATAGCGAGGGAAATGCTTATGAAAAGAACAGATCTTTTCCGCTGTTCTGGTTGCCTTAAATGCACAGCTGCCAACGGACTACTTTGAAGAGCACAGATTGAGTGTTCAGGGGTTGTCTGACGGTGTAATTAGCACCGAGATTGGAATTTATAAATGGCTTTACTGTTTCACGGAGAACTCCCGGGTCATCTTGACAGCCTGGGGAGAAGCATGTATAGGGCAGGCTTATGTGGGGGGGATCACATGTGGGAAAGTGGCTTCAGTTCTGCAGAGGGGCAGCGAGTGTGCCCTCAGCTCATGGCTTGCGCTGTCATTACACCTCTTCCTTCTTTCCTCATGATTTTGTATTTATAACACTTAGGCCCGAATCCTAATAAATGCTTGCTTAATGATAGACAGTTAATAACTGTTGGGTTCATGAATGGATGCGGTTGGCAAGCTTGGAATGCAGAGGAGTAATCTTTTCTCACACCTTATATGGACAGTGTTGCTAGGCATTGCCATCTCTTTCATGTACGTTCTGGGCCCCACAGACCCTGCGACGGATATCACCTTGACCATGCCAGGGGGTGGTGGGCCTAGGCATTCCACCAGTGAGTGCTCTGTCTGTAGGGATATAGCATAGTGGCTAAATGCACAGACTTTTCACAGGCTTTCGGTTTGCTTCCCAGTCCCACCACTTACTAGCTGGATGACTGACTTAGCCTCTTGAGTCTCAGTTTTCTCATCTGTAGAATGGAGCTAATAATAGAACCTCCCTCATGGTTGTTGGTTCTGAACAGCTTCATGTCATTTATATACTGGGTAAAATGCATAAAATGTTGCTTTACTGTTATTATGACTCATTATTTGGTTCCCTAACTGTCATAAACTTCATCTGGGCCTGCCTGGAGCCAACATCACTGCAGATGGAAGTTTTTTGTTTCTTTGTTTTCAAGAGCAATTGGGACCATTGCAAGGCCTTTGTCTAACCCATTCAAGGCTGACCTTTAGAAGGAGGGGAGAACAAGATTTCAGGTCCATCCCACATTTGTTCTGAAACTGCCCTAACCTCCCAAGTTTCTCTTATAGCGAGAGACAGTAGTAATAGCGACAGCAGTTTGATAATTGCACCAGGTAATGTATTAGGCACTTCAAATAAACCTTTCCATTCGTTGTTGTTGGCAGTTGCTGTCTAGTCGATTCCGACTCATGGCGACCCCATGTGTGCAGAGTAGAACTGCTCCATGGGTTGAGATGTGATTGTCTTCTGAACCTCATGGAATTTATCTTTGAAGGCAGGAGGAAGTGGCTTTTTCTTCCAGGTATTTGTGAGTCCTGTGATTCTGATCTGTTAGCTAGCGTTCTGCGTGACCACTTGCCCATCACTTAACTGGTGCATCTTGCTACTGGGAAGTTTAGGAAGATAACAAAGTTTGCCACATGCCTATGTTTCTGGAATGTTTAAGAAGGATATGGTAGCTGAGCACTGGGAATTTTGTTTCTGTAGGAAAAAATTGTTAGCTTTATCCCAAGAGTGCAAATGAAAAAAAAGAAAATATTGATTTTAGCCTATGGATGGACCAAAAAGTTTTTAAAAAGTTTAAAAAGCAAAGTGTCTGTTGTGTTTTTCAGAGGTCGTTTTCAACAGTATCAAGACAGACTGGTGACTTCTGTGTCATTGGTAAAAGATCCATGCAAGTATTAATGCAGCATTTGATACTTTTTCTCCTCACTCATGCTCTTGGAAGTCCTTCTACACTTTGTTGATTCAAGGTTTTATGCGTTACCCTAGTTACTGAGGGGTGCAAACAGTTAAGCACTCGGCTACTAACTGAAAGGTTGGCAGTTCAAATCCACTCAGAAGTGCCTTGGAAGAAAGTCGTAACAATCTACTTCTGAATGATCACTGCCCTTGAAGACTAGGGAACACAGTGCTCTTCTGGAACAACCATGGGATCGCCATGAGTCAGAAGCAATTCCTGGCTTTGTTTTTTTTGTGCATTACTTTAATGTTTATTGCATCCCATTGAATGGGCACACAATGCTTCAGTTAGGAAGAGAAAATGGTACTGATCACAACACCACAGACGTGCCAGTCTGACAGCCTGGGCTCTAACCACTCACCAACTTGGTGCCACGCTATTTTACATCTCCAAGCCTCAGTTTCCCCATCTGTAATATGAGATTCTCACCATCTCCCTCTGTGCTGTTTTAAGAATCAGATAAGAAGATATTTCAAAGGTGTGGCCCATGGTAGTTTCTAATAAATGTGTATTTGCTTCCTCTTTTATCCCCAGCTGGTCACTTCCTTCCCCCAACTACCTCCACAGCAGGTTGCCGGCAAATCTCTCTACCTCCCTATCAGGGATTTTCACCCTTGACTGCACAGTCACATCATGGGGATGTTCACAATGCACCCCAGGGTCTCTGGGGGCGGGACTTAGGCCTCAGTGTGTTCAAAGGCTGCCCAGGTGATTCCACTGCAGTAGAGGTTGAGATCACTGCTCTGCAGAGTCGAAGTTTTTTTTTTTTTTTTTTCCTGCTTCCTAACTTCATAAACAGTAATTACTTAAGCCTCTTAAGACCTCCGTTGAGATAGGGATAATCCGGGAGGCGACCATACTTTGCTAATAAAACAAAAAAACCAAACCTGTTGGCGTCGAGTCGATTCCAACTCATAGTGAGCCTGTAGGACAGAGTAAAACTGCCCCAGTAGGGTTTCCAAGGAGCGGTTGGTGGATTCAAACTGCCAACCTTTTGGTTAGCAGCCAGACGCTTAACCACTGCACCACCAGGGCTCCTACTTTGCTAATAGGCATACCAATAAGTTAGGCTCCAGAATTAGTTCCTAGTCTATGACTTTCCCTCTAGATTTCCCCTTTCCTATTGAATATAATGGAGTATGGAGTCCTGGGTGGTGCAAACAGTTATAACCCAAAGGTTGGAGGAGGTTTGCGTCTACCCAGAGGCACCTGGGAAGAAAGGGCTGGTGATCTATTTCAAAAAAATCAGCCAGTGAAAACCCTATGGAGCAGAGTTCTACTCTGACACACATGGAGTCGCCATGAGTTGTAGTCCACTTGATGGCAACTAGTTAACTGGTAGAATATAGATCGTGCTCTCCAACATAGCAGCCACTAGGCACATGTGGCTATTTAAAGTCATTAGCATTCAATGAATTCAGTTTCTTATTTGCACCAGGCCACATTTCAAGTGCACAATAGCCCCATGTGCCTAGTGGCTACCATACTGGACAGCACAGTTTCAGAATATTTCCATCATCACAGAAAGTTCTACTGGACAGCGTTGTAATAAACATTTCAATAGAGAAGACAGTGGGAGTTTCTCAAAGAATTTCTTGTTCAGATAATCCACAGAGTGAAGCCCTCCCCACTTGCCCTGTCCCCAGCTTTATCGGATTCTCTTGACAAGATGTGGGGATGGAAAGGAACGTAAACATCAGGGATCCTTTCAACCTGATTCCAGCCTCTAATCAGTCCTTACCAGTTGGTTAAGCCAGGTGACAAACCCAATTCCCCTGTGCTGACAGGCATGGTAATCAGGCCCCTTCTTTGTTCATTATGCTGTCTTTAACCCCAGCATTCTTATGCAGCCCTGCACTTAGTGGTCGCTCACTGTGACGGCACACTAATGAAGAAATAAAACACACTATCGGAGACTCATTCTTCTAGCCAAAGAGAGATGCTCCACTGGTTTGTAAAATCAGCTTTTTGTTTACTTGAAGAACGATTAGACCAGGTGAATACCAGTAGCGCTGGCTAATTTCGAAGGAAACACTTAGAAGTTCACACCTAAAAGTTCTCCATTGCCCCAGGACTTAAGGGAAATTAATAGTAAATAAGCTTTATCTTTGGGAAGACTTTTGATGGAGTATCTGGTTAGGTTAACATAAATGGTGAGGCATACTGAGATGTTTCAATGGAAGCGTCATCTGGATATTTTCAATAATCCACGCCTGTTGAGAATAGAGAGTTTAGAACAGTGCTTCTTTTAAACATTAATGGGCATACGAAACACATGGAATTCACTTACGGACTAGGTGGGACACAGGTCAGGCCTGAGATTCTGCATTTATAACAAGTTCCCAGGTGGTGCTGATGCTTCTGGTCTGTGGGCCACGCTTAGGTAGCAAAGATTTAGAGAGCAGCTGGGTTGATGTTCAGGGAAGGGAGACTCTCTCTTCCTTGCTTGTAGCTTTCAGGGCTGTTCTTCAGCCTAGCGAAACAGAAAGATATTTCAAGGATTCTGAACATTCTCCCTGGAATGCTTCATTTGTCTCCCTTATGAAGAAATTCCAACCTGCTTTGGGGTCACGTCGCCAAATACACTCATAATAGAGTTTTTTTGTTTTGTTTTTACTTCCTGAGTCCCCACTAAGTTACTGCCAGAGAGCAGACGTTAAAATCTCACCTTAGAACATGTGGATCAGTTAAGAAAGGCACCAGGAGTTTTCTGGTGAGGTTGCCAGCAGAGCATACAGCTTCTTCTCTACACACACAAGGATGCCATTCAAACTGATGAAGGAATTTTGATTTCACGAATCATTTCTTAGAAGGAATTTTGATGTGATTTTTATTAATGAAATTAGTGTCCTTTAACTCTGCGGATAACCAACCCCTCCCCTCCAAATCTCTTTCACCTTGCGTTTACCTTTTCCACTTAGTCAGGAGGAATGTCTTCAGCCAATCAACAGTGTTGGGATAAGTTGACAGCATCATGCCTGTGCATGGAGACTTGATTGCCTTAGTCATTTAGTTGCTTGTGCAATGATTATAGTGAGAAAAGGTCTTCTTTTCTCTCATCAGGGGGCTGGACCAATGTTATATTTAAGGTCACTTTCCAACTCCTTATT